AATTTCTTCATCCCGGCATCTTCAGTTTTGTATTTCTTTTCAAGCGCATTCCACAATTCTTTTGATGTCTCCACACCACTGTATATATTATACAGATTATCATCCAGTCCGCTAAGAAAATAATTCTTGCACAAAAAATCAGAATGCTCCCACGCCTCAATCACGAGAAAGCTTTCATTTCTCTGGAGTTTCATCTGGCAGATCAGGAACATCTTCCTTGATGAACTTCTGTAGACATAACGTAGTCAAGTAGAAGAACATCTTCTGCTGCCAGCGCTTGAAATCAATCCCAAAAAAAATTTCGGGTTTCTCTGCCGGTGCCAACGCCGGTGTTCGGCTTGTTGAAGCGTTGGCTGTCATCATCGGAATAGCTCGATTTCCGTTGTAAAAATAATCCTTCGTGGCGGTTTGTTGGAAATTAAAATCGACGTGATTTTTTTTTCTCCCAGTTTAAACATTTGTTTGTGTCATTCTTTTACAGAAATGGAAAATGACAACAGAAACCGAGCTGTTCCGATGATGACAGCCAACGCATCAACAAGCCGAACACCGGCGTTGGCACCGGCAGAGAAACCCGAAAAAATTTTCGGGATTGATTTCAAGCGCTGGCAGTAGAAGATGTTCTTCTACTTGACTACGTTATGTCTACAGAAGTTCATCAAGGAAGATGTTCCGGATCTGCCAGATGAAACTCTAGAGAATGAAAGCTTTCTCGAGATTGAGGCGTGGAAGCATTCTAATTTTTTTGCAAGAATTATATTCTTAGCGGACTGGATGATAATCTGTATAATGTATACAGTGGCGTAGAGACATCAAAAGAATTGTGGAATGCGCTTGAAAAGAAATACAAAACTGAAGATATCGGGATGAAGAAATTCGTCGCTGCAAAACTTTTGGATTACAAAATGGTAGATAACAAGTCTGTTATTACCCAAGTCCAAGAATTGCAAGTAATTATTCATGATCTACTTGTTGAAGGTATATTTCAAAAGAATACTGATGTTGAAAGTAAAATTTTTAGTAATTTTACTAACGGAATTTTAATTGAATGTCTTGTCATTAATGAAGCATTCCAAGTAGCAGCAATAATTGAGAAGTTGCCTCCATTGTGGAAGGACTTCAAAAATTATTTGAAACACAAACGAAAGGAGATGTCCCTTGAAGATCTCATTATTCAACTGAGAATCGAAGAGGACAATAAAGCTGCTGAAAAGAGAGGCCGTGGAAATTCAACAATAACGGGAGCAAATATTGTTGAAGATAACAAAAAGAGAAAGAAGGCTTCTGGTCCGAAATACAACCCAAGCAAGAAGCGGTTCAGTGGAAACTGCTACAACTGTGGGAAAACTGGACACAAATCTACGGAATATCATGC